CAATGATTAAGACCAAGATATCAGTGATTCTCCACAATTGTAGCAGTTTTGTTTTCTTTGTATATTTGTTTCCATATTTGTAATTGTATAGCTACCATGTATCTTCTGTCTATAAATGAAGATCTCCTCACAGCATATTGTGTAGAGGCATTTACTTCACAATATTTTATATTATACTTTTATTATTTATTATTATTTTATTATACTTTATATAATTTATTATATATTCATTTATACTCATATTTATTTCTTTTATATTTATATATATATATTTCATTCATATATTTACATATTTATATATTTATATATTTTATTCTATTAATTCATTACTCACTATATGTATAAAATTAATATAATGATATAGTAAATAAAAAGTAATTTAAATAGTGTATTAAATAATAAAAATAAAAATTGTAGGAAATGAAGAGGTGGGGTGCACCACGCCAAGGCCACGTAGAAACCAATGCACCTTATCTGTGTCATCAACTGCTTTGCCAATAGCACTAAGCTGATCACATAATGATCGGAAAGAGCGTGCATATTCAGCAACACCACGAGAGCCGCGCTGCATCAGCTGGAGTTCATCTTTTAGTTGGAGTTCTCTGGTTTTTGAACTATGAGAAAAAGAAACTTCAAGGGCCAGCCAAGCATCACGAGTTGTAGTGCAATTAACGACTTCAGCCATACATTCCTCAGTGAGAGAGGCATACAGAAGGCTGAGTAAAATGCGATCCTGTGTGCGCCATTTCTTGTAGGCAGGATTAGGAACAAGATCATTTCCATTACTGACTTGAGCAGCGGGTGCAGACAATGACCCATCCAAAAAGCCCATAAGATCCTGACTTTCAAGCAGGGGAACAAACTGACGACGCCACAAGAGATAATTTGTGGGAGTGAGTTTGATGGTCACCATGTGAACCATTGTATTGAGCGGAAGCAGAGAAGTGTTGGATTCGGCCATGGAAAAAAAAAAAAACCAGCAAAGGATTAACCTATTTGCTCTGATACCATGTGAAGTAAATGCCTCTACACAATATGCTGTGAGGAGATCTTCATTTATAGACAGAAGATACATGGTAGCTATACAATTACAAATATGGAAACAAATATACAAAGAAAACAAAACTGCTACAATTGTGGAGAATCACTGATATCTTGGTCTTAATCATTGGAATCAGGCTGTCCTCTAATATATATGATTCTTTTGGTTTGTTTTGGTGATTCAAATTGTGACAGAAAGGTTACTAGTTGTTTGGTCTTATTTGTGGAACCAGTAATTATAATTGAATTTTCAATGAGTTCCTCCTTTGAATTATGAAATTGTTACAATTGTGAGCCCACGCAAGTTGCAGAGGTTTGCTTCTTGGTCTTGCTAAATTTAATTTGTGATGTTTACTGCAATGCTATTTTTTGTGGCTATCCATCAATCCATTATGGAACTGATATTTTATAAGTTAATACCCACAAATTTATCGCATTTATTAGTCATTTTTTGGTTTGCTATTTTTTTTTAGGTGGAAGAGTTCAGTGACGACTTTGAAGCTACAAGAAGCACTGGTTATCATCAAAGAACATATGTGCAATATAGTTGCAATACCTCTGTTGCAGAAGGCATGGAAATTTTGTGTATCTCTGAAATGCCGAAAATTGTGAATATGAAATGGAAATCTTTTCAATACATAATGGCTTCTTTGCAGATTTGTCGAGTTGAATTGAGTGAGTTCATATGTTCTGCCAGTCATTTTTCGAGTTGTCGAGTTGGTTCATATGTTCTGCCATTTCTAGCCCCTCTTTTCATTGCCAGTCATTGGTGGAGCAAACTGTGTCCGTAGTGTGGTTCAGCCCTGTAGATGTTGCTTCAAGCAATATACTACTCTTACTTTTCATGAAATTCATTTCTTTCTCGACTTCAAATATTGTACAATGAAAGATCTAAGTAAACATGAAGTGAGAAGGTTATTCTTTCATATAATGGCCAACAAATGAGGCAGGTTATTCAGAACACAAGCTTAATTGAACAGCATTAACCCAATTTTAAATTAACAGAGGTCGGAAAAATAAAAAGTATCAATCACGACCATAATTTACAGCAATGTGCTCTCAACTCACGCAACCATGCTAGAGTCTATTTAGCAAAGAAGCAGAAATAATCGGACATTATGATCTGCTAAGAGGCAACAACAAAATTGGAAGCAAGCCCCAAATCGGACATTGCTGCTGCTGCTATTTGTGCATCACCATGCTATTTGTGAAGCCCCTCTACAACATAAATGTAAAATGGGGTGTGCCAATTTTTAGCCACGGATTAGGAACATCTTCTCCCAGCCATTGCCATCTGTAGGAGAGTATGTAAAAAGTTTCAGAAAAAAGAACTGCTAGAAAAATGAGTAAGTACCAGAAATATGATTGGATCGTTAAAAGCACAAAGCATATGGTGATTTTCATTTGAAATGGACTGATGCCTCAGATCAAATGAATTATTTGAGGAGTAGTTGCTTACATTTATACATTCATCATTTGGATTGATGTCCACAGGTTTCATTCATTACCAAGCTTCCCCTCTTTCCTTTTGTCCATCTCTTGGGCCTGACAGAAAAAATTCATACATCATAAGGAAAGCACAAGCACAACCAACAGACAACACAAGCTCCTCTCCAATACAAACAACAACCATCAAGCTGTATGCCTGCTGTAACTACTATACCAGCTGGAAAAACAAAATTCAGTACCCCAGGAAAACCATCATTACCAACTTCAGGAAAGCCAACATTCAAAATGCTGCAACCTGCTTCAATCAGCATTACATTCATCCACTAAACTGAACAGCAACTTCTCAGTTTCCAACCCAATAACACCTCAGAAAATTTTAAATGCAGAGTTGGCTTTAATCCTTCAATGATTAAAACCAATTTAAACTACACATCTGAATCCATCATAAACTGAACCATCACACCCTTGCAATACAGCTGCAACATAGCATCACAACAGAATATCCTCTCATCCCAGCAACATCAATATCAAACACAGTGAAACAACATCCAAAAATTCATTTAATATATCCATCTAATATTATATTTTGCTAGTTAAGAATTTAAACAATCCCTTGAAGAATTCAACTTTTGTACACACAAAAGCATATTACTATAACATTATTCCAACAGCCCTAAACAGTAAGCACTACAATGTGTAGGCGAGCTAATGTCATTGTGACGATAAACCGTTGATCTTAGTCCCTCAGGTAATGGCAATTGACAAAATTGTTCAACCTCATGTTTCTAATTAAAAAAAAAAACAGAGAGAAGCCCCCCTCCTTTTTCCTTTTCTTTCCTTTGTTGTTCTCAGTTCATTTCTTATCATTGTTTTTCTTTGTTCTTTTCTTTCATTCATTTTTCATAATTATTTGACCACCTAAACAAAAGAACCATCACTAGCTTATTAGTAGATAGTTAAAAGTATTTCTAGACACAACTTTGACTTGTTTTGATAAATTCTTTTAAGATTATTACCTGCAATTAATTTTTCAAAGCATCACCAAATGCAGCCTAAAATTCTTGGTTTTATACTAACACGAATTTCAGATTCCTTGCACCAATGTCTCTGTTGAAATCACAATACAAACATTAAGTTAATAAGGGATGGTAAACAAAATCACCGAGAGTCCATACCACTAAATTTGTGTCTGGTCTGAAACCCCAGCCGCAGCTAATAGAGTTGAACAGGGGCTGAGTCGTCTGGTCTCGTCGGGAAAGACGGTGGTTGCAGGCGGAGGAGGAGGAGAGATCGATCGATCGATCGATCTGAGACGGGCTGACTGGTTGGAGGAGGAGGAGGGAGGACCGATATGTGAGAGATGAGAGACCGACTGGATTGACAGAGGGTAAAAATTTTTAAAACATTTACCTACGTTTTCTTAAATAACGTTTTCAACCCCTAAATTTTTATAAACGTCATTTTAAATAACGTTTTTAAAAACGTCACGAGGTTTTCATCCTTTTGTAATTTTTTAAAGCCTGTTACTGTCGTTTAAAAAAATTATGTTCAAAAACATCATTCTGAATGATGACTTTAAAAACGTCATTACAAATAACGTTTTCAGAGAAAAAATTTAAACTTCAAAAACGTTATTTCAAATGACGTTTTTAGGTGAGAAGACGTCATTTCAAATGACGTTTTTAAAAAAAGACTGGGTTGGGAATTAAGTTTAAAAATGACTGGATTTGAGAATTAAGTTTAAAAGTAACCGATTTTTGTTTTAAAAAATTATTTTGAAATTTTTCTTTACATTATGTTTAAACGTATGGTATTATCATTTTTTTTAATTCTTTTTTTAAAAATTATTTTGAATTTTTTTTTGTATTATGTTTAAGCGTACGGTGTTACCGATTTTTTTTTTTAATTTTTTTAAAAAAAATTATTTTGAATTTTTTCCTTATATTATGTTTAAGCGTATGTTGTTACTGATTTTTTTTTTTAAAATTTTTTTAAAAATTATTTTAAATATTTTCCTCGTATAGATGGTTAAGGGTAAAATGGAATAGAAGATGTTTAAGGTAAAATAGTATATTTGTTATATAAGATGTGACAGAATAGATAGTTGTTTGTGAGACCCACTATAGTACCTATTGAACAAACAAACAAGGAAAATAATGAGATATAAGTTTAAGACCGAGTATAGTATACCATTGGATAAGAGTGGAATAAAAATGATTTCTAATACCATCCAAATCTAATACCGCAAAGAAAACATGCCCATAATGTATCTACAATCCACGATGAGAGTTTTGAAAAGGTGGCAGTCTATCTTTTTCCCAGTAAGAGTATGGTGCCATCTTCAAAGTAGTGTTCACCACCACTGCACCACTCATTGTTTACTAATTTTGTGTTTTCACCCAAATTAGAGTTTGAAAGGATTTTTAGCAAGATTTCCTAGTTCAATTTTAATTAATTCTCTCTTTACTCATGCCATAAGTAGACTATGTATAAACCATGTCAGATGTACAAGTAAAATGTAACATGGCTGCCAAACTAATATATAAACCATGTGTAGCATTCGTTGCTAAGTTGATTTTGAATGATGACTAGGTACCAACAGCCCTATCTACAATTAAGTTTTTTGAAGGAGCGAAGAAGTTATTTTTCGTGTCATACAAGGGTTCTAATCAAATCAAGTCAAATTACAACTATAACCTCATTGATCATAATCCTTACCTCACTTGTTTCTAATTGAAAGACAAATATATGTTGTTATTGAGTTCCATTACATGTACTACCCAAACAAGATGACTATCTCTTTTCTATCATCCATGAGCACAGAGATAAACACATCACACAAAGAATGGATTACATTTCAACATTCATTCTGCAGAGAAATAGATCAGGCATCATCTATAATTCGATCAAGGCTCCAATTCACTCTATAAATATAACATCACTTGAGGAACAATTGCTAGCAATATTTACGAATTTGGATAATACAACTAAAGTGACGATACGAGGCAGAAGTCATGTAAGCTACAAGATTATGAGCTAATATGAAACTGGGCATCGACAGCTTTTGCTGATCAGCTTTTCAATCCTAAAGCCCGAATAGGGAAGCAAAATTCCCTGTGCAAAGCAGGTGCACTCCATTGATCAAAATCAATCTTCTGATTCTAATGGTTCTCCCCAGGCACAATAGAGCCCCTCTTTTGAAGTCCATTTCGTGGCACTGACATTCCACAAAACTCTGGAGAGGACAATCAGCTACTTTATACGTTTAAGATTTGAAACAAAGCCACAAATTAAAAGCTATAAGACTAGAAATTGGATGGCATCAGGTCTTGTAATCTTGATCATGTCAAGCTTGTGTCAGCTCAGATGATATAAGTACCTATGAAAATCACCAAACCATTAGGTCCAAATTAACTTGTCAGAGTTCTTTTCTTTTTTGGTACTTTTTTGGTTTAAATGCGTCAGGAAAGGGGAAGAAGAGCTTATAGATAAAACTTAAAAAATAACGTAGACAACTACCAAACAAACTGAAAAATAGATAATAACTTGAAAAAAATATAGCACTTCAGTATAACAGTCAATATATTTGCCACTAAAGTATGCTTTTTAATGCAATCAAAATTTTACATCAGAGATTGAAGCTAGCAAAAAACATTTTTTAGAGATACCTTTCAAATGCTATTTCCATTCAGAGGAAGAGGCAACAGTTCATTTTCCATATAACCATCCAGCACTTCTTCTAATTGTATGATGTTCTTAAGATTTTTTAAATGCAGGTTGTTAAAACTTAACTATAAGTAAAGGGATGTTTGATAACTCACAACTGAAATCTATAGCTATAACTATAACTGCAAGTCATGTTATTAGGAATGAAGCTTATAAGTTGTTGATTGATACCTAGGGATGAATATATCAACTCAGACATAAATTAGAAAAATAATTTAATTTTCCTTCAGTAATACATCATAAGTCAAAAGACTTTTGACTTTGTATACGGTAACCTTCAAGTTTGAACCCACAAGGGCCACAACCTCAAGACTATTGGTCAAAAATTGTAATTTGATGATCGAGTATTTATATCTCAAGCAATAGTGTTCATTTAAACATCCGGCGAGTCCCATCACATCCTCAACAAGTTCTAAAGTCATCTAGGAGCCACATTTATGTCTCTATAATACAACAAAATGGGACGACAGAGAACATGTTCAAAGAGAGAGAACACCCAAATTCAACATTTTCCACTCTATACGCAACAGAATGTCAACTCTTGCTCCATATAGCTCTATCACCACAAATAAATTAAATTAAATGTAAGTTTCATGGCAGCAGAAACCATATATTTTCTAAAATTTGAAGTTTAAAATTCTAGCATCAATCATGGACAATAGAAACACCATCCTTGCTCACAAATGCATATGATATTAGTCCCCACCCAAGAAGATCTTTAAGTATCAAAGTTGATAACAGTTCAAGAAACTTCAGATGTGGCAGCATTTAACATGTTGATAGTAAACCATGACCCATTAACTAGCAGTTTGTAAAAACAAGTACCAATCCACGAAGAACCTAGCTCATAGTTAGCATGTTAAAGGATGCAATTAAGAGTTGAATTATATATATGAACAAATACACAGCACATTACATATGTATTAGTACATTCATATTCAGTATAAAACATTAGAAGATGAATGATTCAGTTAATCATTACCAAAAAGTTTGAAGTGCTCCTCATAGTCCCCGTCTAGCCCATAGGTAGTTTTCCCTTTCCATTTTTCTGGTGCAAAATAAATTCATGGAACTGCTCAGCTCTCTGTTTCATTCCCAAAATCAACTCTTCAGTCTCTACATGTATTTGTTTCGGTAAGTACACCTCTAAATAGTCAAACCACTCCCCAAGTGTCATTGTCTCCAAATTGGGCACCTCCTTGCCCCCCAAACTACTCCCCTTCATGCTAGGTGCAGTCGCCAATCTCTCACAACCTACTTCACCCAAATTCAACTCACCATCTCCTTCATCTTCCAGAACATCAACATGAACTCCTAACAGCTCATTCGATAAACCGTGTTTAGCTTCTTTGCCTTTATCTGGCCCCATACTGCACTCTTCCACAAGCCCCTTATTTGACTCTTCCACAACCTCTTTCTCATTCGAAACTGCATTTTCCATGCTCACTATTTTCTCATCCTGTAAATTCTTCTTCCCTCTCCTACCCCTACCTGTCTTTTTACCTTCAGTCGGTACCAAATTGGTGAATTCCCTGCAATGACTTCCATCCACATTTAAATTCATAGCTTCTTGCTTCTTTGAACTCCGTGTCCTCCTTGTACTCACTCGCTTCTCCAATTTCACCTCAACCATAACATTGTCCACTTTTCCCTCCATTGCAACCCCAATTTCACTCTCTTGCATTTCATTCTCTGGAAGTCCCCCAATCATCAGACCAGAACCCAAATTTTCCACCTTCGAACTCCCACTCCTACAAGAACTCACTTGACATCCTGATTTCGCCTCAGTTGGAGCCACCTGGTCCATATCTCCATTGTTTTCAACCTCATCCACTCTAATCTTATTGTTTGAACTCCTCGTCTTGACTTGCCGACCCCTTTTCGCTTCATTCGGAACCACATTCTCCATTTCTTCCAAAATTTCAACCTTAATTTCACTCTGTTGAACCTCATTTTCAAAAACTCTAGCTTTTCTTGGCAGTCCTCGCCGCTTCTTATTCTCCTCCAGAGTTTTCCCCAATTCTCCGACAAACTCCAACCTCAACTCACTATTTTCATCAATTGAATCCAAATTAGCTTTTGCACCGCCTCTCCGCCTTTGATCTCGTACAACACCACCCACAGTATTCACTGTACCTCTCCTTCTGGGGTTTCGTCGCACCTGATTTTTAGCATAATCACTTACAATCTCTCCAACCTTGACCTGGATCGAAGTGACCTCCCCGATCTTAACAATGTCACCGTCACCAAGATCGGTAGGGACCATGGGAGGGATCATTTCACTGTTCAAAATAGTGCCGTTTGAGGAATTTAGGTCGGTGATGACCCATTTACCAGGCTTCTTTGACTTCGTTTTGTTATCTTCATCTGAATGATCAGTAAATTGGATGGAGAAGTGATGAGTAGAAATCCCGGCGTCTTTGATCGATACAGTGTTGCCTCGGACGGTCCGGCCGATTTGGACCTTGCGACCTGGTTTGAATTCTAGGGTTTCACCAGCCAGAGGGCCTCCCTCCATTATTAGCTTCAGCGTCATGGCTTCTTCTTCCTCCATTGTTCGGAGATGGTTTGAGAATACAGAGAAAGAGAGACTGGAGTTTTTTCGTCCCCAGAGAGAGAAAGAGAGAACTTCAAGTTTGAATGGAAGATTTTGAGAGGGAGAGTGAGAAAGGAGGGAAGGTTTGGAAGTTTCAAGCTGTTGTTTGGTTCACTTTTGTTTTGGATTTTTTTCTATGTAAATAAATAAAAGGATTTTATTTTGTATTAAAAAAAATTATTTTTTATTTTTAAAGATTAAATTTTTTATATTATATGTTCAATATATTAAAAATATTATAATGTGATCCTTCATTAACTTCCATTGTTCATTTGACCAACGCTAATAAAGTGAATTTTGAATGAAAAAAGAACAAAAGTTAACAGAAGGTACAAAAATTGAGGGTTTAATGTGATAAATATCATCTTGGAGGATATAAATAAAAAATTTAAATTTTTTAAGGTATAAAATAATATTCCTCCTAAATAAAAAATGGATGTCGGAGATAAATACATATTTGGTGGACTACTTATTTTCTTTTCTACAAAAGAGTTTTCAAAATATTAAAACTATCATAAATAAATGTTTTAAATTTTGAAATTTCTTCAATAGATTCTAGTCTGCGTAACTAGGAAACAAACCTATATTCGATTCTTGTTCTTTTTCTTATATTATCAAGAGTGAACATTAACCATTTTGATTTATAACGATTCATCTCTTCTTTCTCTTTTGGTTGATAATTGGCTATCGCATGCATCTTTTCTTGTTCTAATTTCCGGGAATAATTTGGACACTT